ATCTGAAATTCTTCTCAAACTTACTGTAATAACTCTTAACTTATGATTAAAACCGCTCGCATTTAATAAACTTGATTCATCATAATAAATTAGTAGCAAATTAGCTAAGATTATCGTAAACCAACTGGAATTACTATGTAAACTATAAAAAAAGTTAACCCTCTGATATTGTATCTAACAGTTGTAATCTTAAAAGATTACACATTAACAGTATCAAAAATATGATGACATACTAGCATTAAATAAGTAACCAAATGTCTTTTATTTTATTATACCTTCTTTTCAAAACTTATTCATCTTTATCTTTAGAATCATATTCTTTATGTAAAAAATATTATAATCAAATTATATCTATAAATCATTTTATAAATTCCTTTTAAATTCAGATTAAATCACAAATTTTAATTTTTTTTAAAATTGAAACAAACAAAAATATAATAGTATTGATAATAGTGAATTAGATATTAGGCTAAATAAAATTACTAGCATTTATAAAGATGGCATTCAAGTTTTTGAATTTGAATTTAGTACCTATAATTTTAGTATTTAAGTTAAATTTAATATATGTGATTTGACATTTAAGTTAAATCTAATACTTGTGATTTTAGTGATCAAGTTAAATCTAGCATTTGTGATATTAGTATTTAAGATAAATTTTATACTTACAATTCTAACGTTAAATTAGAATATAAGTAATAAATTAAACAATTACAAAAATAATTAGAAAATCAATAGCATGAATTAGTAGAATTTTTAGAAAAATTAATTAAAGCTTATAAATATATAAATAAGCTTAATAATCAATATCAAGAACAATGTAAATAAAATAAAATTATGATAAAAAAATAGAATTCTCAATTTAGTAATCAGCAAAAATGAATTAATATAAGGATGATGATCTTTAGCTTTAAGCCAGAAGCTGCAGATTTAGCAGAATATTGTATTATACACTGAAATTAAAAAATATATTGCTAATCTTCGTAAAATTTAGGAGATTATGTATTTTATATTAGATTTACTAATCAAATTAGACAAATCGCAAATATTTTTTTCATTTTTTAAGTTTAATTAACTTTTTAGTTTAAAATAAAATAACTATATATACTCGTTTATCTAGATATCCTTTGAGTTAATAGTATTTTACTTTAAATTTATTGTAATCATGCTGTTAGGTGATAAAAAAATCAACTATTAATGATCATATTCGTGATATAGTTCATTATTTAAAAAAAAAGAATATAAAAACAAATAAAAAACTAACAGAATTTTATAATACAGGATAATTATCTCAATAATTCAATAATTTCAATTACTGTTAGTAAAAAAAAATTAATAGAAAATTTAATTTATGCATTTATTACTACTGACATATCATTAAAAAAAATGAATTCCCTTCTTTCTTTTTTCAAAAATATATAAAATAAGAAGAATTTATTACTTAAGTACCTACCTTACATTAAATCTATTTACCTCAAGTTTTTTAAAATCCATTTTAATCAAATTAAACTTTTATTTAAAAAGAAATCAGTAGTAATTACTATAGATAAAACTACATGATTATAGGCATAATATAGTGAATACTCTTTTTTATTTTCAAAAAAATATAAAATTAGTTTCTGTAGATTTTTTAATTTAAGTCAATAATTCAACAGTAAAATCTATTCTTCTTACAATTTTGATAATCTACCATATTCCTTTTTCTCTTTCTCAGCTGTTTCTTTTAGATTCAGCTACTTATATGAAAAAATTTTTTAATAAAGATGTATCTTATTATATACATATATTAAATTTAATAGGATAAGTAAAATATTTTTTTTCTTATATATTTTATTACATTAAATAATAATATAATTAACTAAATTTTATAATAAAACATGATGAAAATTTAATTCTTTTAAAATTTTAAAAGAATTTTTGGCTAAAGTAAAAGAATGTTTTATTCGTAATCCAGCAAGAAGGTGTAGATATTTAACAGATCTTTGCTTATATAGTATAACTCTTGTAAAATTCCCCTTTCTGTTTCTATACATTGGAACTCATGGTTTAAAATGGTTGACTATACTAAAACACATTTACCATATTGGAATTCCTTTTTGAAGATAAATTAATTAATGATCCAAATAATGTAACTCTTTAAAACATTTCACAAACCTTTCTAATTCTCATGATGGTGTTTTTTCAATTATTATTCATTTTATTCTATATATGCAAAACAATTTATATAAGATACTGATTTTTTTCAAACACAAAACAAACCTATATTTTATTTAGTAGAAAAACATCTTTTATTATCTTACTGCATTTTTAGAAAGCAATTGTAATTCTTTAAATTTTAGTTTAGAACTTGATGCTACCATTACTTCTTATAATTTTAGTCCATATGAATTTTATCCTATTTTTCGATCAGTTTTAGAGAAGCTCAAAACAAATTTAATTCTCATATTCCTTCACATCCTGCACGTCTTCTGCTCAAATTTTTGATCCTAAGTATACATGTATATTACTTGGTACTTTAGAAAGTGAAAAATTTGCGTGGTTATAGTGTTATTAGAGAATTAGCAAATCCTTCTGATGAATTTTGTGAATGGGCAATTTATTGTGGATTGCAATTAGAAAATTTAGTTGAAGAAATTGATTTAGAAAAGTATTGGATGAATCTTGAAGATAAATTACCAATTCTTTTAAAAATTATATTTGGTTACCTGTATCTAGTAGTAGTGTAGAAAGAAGTTTCTCAATTTATAACAATATTTTAGATATTAATCGCCAAAATCTTTCAGAAGATTCTTTGAAAAAATTAAATATGATGTATTTTAATGGCAATTAAATTTTTTTGGGATAATAAAATTAATAAAATTTATTTTGTTTTCGCCGAAATGAGCAGAAATTATAATTAATATAATAAAATATCCGCAGAATGATGACAATAAGCCGCAGAAAGCAGGGCTGGATTTTAAAATAAACGCCGGCAGATTTTGCGAAATTTCGCAGCCGGAGATCATCGTCACTGTTCTTGACTAATAAAAGATCGGGACACGATCTAAAAATTCTTCCTATATGTACACATTTTTTCGAGTATTAAAATCTCTATAACGATAATCTAATCTTATTATAATCTAAGAACAACAATGGTCACATCTCGGTGATTCGGTGATAATTGATAATCAAAAAAGTGGTAGAAAAATGTATTCAGATCAAGATTCATAACAAAAAAAAGATTTCGCGGAATTATATTAGTGAAAGGTAATTCCAATTTGGTCATACATCCTTAATATCGAGATTATAAATAAAAGAAAGAACGACAACAGAAAATTCTCTCATTCTCTCTCTCTCTCTCTCTCTTTTTTTTTCATAAACTTAATTCCTTTCGGCCATAAAAATTTGATATTCTGAATAAATGTTTCGCTCTTCGATAACTTTTGGTAGTAGATTAGTTGCAGCAAATAAAAATAGGATTATTAATGTAAGTCAATTTAGCATGTATATTTCATTTGAAATAAAAGCATTTATATGCTAATGCTTAACATTTTCAATTTCAGAGGTATAATATAGTTACGACTACACAAGCATCGGTTGCGACCCAAACTGCCAGGGATATCATGACGTCCGAATCCAAAGTAAATATTGAAAACGATGCGTATTCAAAAGAAGAAAAAATTTAAATAATTTTTTTGGTTTAAATATTTTTTTTAGAAATTGAGTCATGCAGATGCTGATACGCATCCTAAAACAGCGGAATTATTGGCTAGACAAGATCAATATACGATCAACACTTACGCTAGACCACCAATAATTCTTACTAAAGGTAAAGGATGTTGGGTATTCGATTTAGGAGATAGAGCGTACCTGGATTTTTCAGCAGGTATAGCAGTTAATGCATTAGGGCACGCAGATGATGAATTAGCGAAAGTGATAGCGGATCAATCATCAAAATTAGTTCATTTATCGAATCTATATCATAATGAATATGCTGGTGAATTGGCAGAATACTTGGTGAAATCTACAATAAATGGAGGTGGATTTGAAGCGGCAAAAGTATTTTTTTCAAATTCGGGTACAGAAGCAAATGAAGGAGCGTTAAAATTCTCAAGAAAATGGGGGAAATTGATCAGCAATGGAGGAAAAGAAAAATATGGAGTTGTATCATTCATGAATGCATTTCACGGTAGAAGTATGGGAGCTCTATCAGCCACCCCATCACCGAAATATCAAACACCTTTCTCACCTTTGGTACCAGGATTTGTTCATTCCAATTACAATGATATAAAAAAGATACCAGAATTCGTTAATGAAAATACTTGCGCGGTTATTGTTGAACCCATTCAAGGAGAAGGTGGTGTTTGGGAGGCAAAGGTTGATTTCTTAGAAGCTTTAAGAAAGAGGTGTGATGAAGTTAACGCGTTATTAATCTTTGATGAGATTCAATGTGGACTTGGACGTACGGGGAAATTATGGGCTCATCAACATTATCCTAAATCATGTCATCCAGATATATTAACAATGGCAAAACCATTAGCAAATGGATATCCAATTGGTGCAATAATGACCACCAAAAGAGTAGCCGACATTGTACAAGTTGGAGATCATGGTACGACATTTGGTGGAAGTCCATTGGCATGTAGAGCCGCTTTATCTGTTGTAAGTCGTATTAACAGTTCGGGATTATTAGAAAATGTTAACAATGTAGGAAATTATTTATTTAATGAATTACAAAGATTATCTTCAAAGCATCCATCTTTAATTACCGAAGTTAGAGGGAAAGGTTTAATTCTTGGTATGCAATTCTCTCTTGACCCGAGTCCTTTAGTAAAGATGGCCAGAGAGAGGGGTTTATTGATTATTACTGCCAGTAATCAAACCGTTAGGCTTGTACCTCCTTTGATATTAACGAAAGAAGAAGCTCAGTTCGGTGTTAAAATTTTAGAAGAAATTATTGATATCTTTCATAAACAAAATGATGATAAATAGTGATTTATATCAAATTTTAATTTAATTGTTGTTCATTTCCTGTATTCCTTTTTTACTATTTTTATCAAAGTATAATTTTATCAAAAAAGAAAAAAAAAAAAATAAATTTGTTTTTAAACAGTTTGCTTGTATATATAATTTATTTAAAGAAATGAAAAAAAAACACCTCCCAAAAAAAAAAAAAAGGTAAAGACCAGACAAATTTACAATAGCTATATACACTATTAAAAAAAAAAAATTCCTTCCCCTCCATCAAAAGGAATTAATTTCTCTTTCTGAAATCATCATTCATCATCTTCGTCACTATCACCATCGTCATCAACAATATTACAATCCTCGGGAACAGCAAAGCTTTCCTTACGAACACCACCTCCCCAAGGATTATCACCAATGATTTTAGCTTTAACTCCAAGACCACGTTTAGCAAAACCTTTCCAAATTTCGCATTTATTTTCACCATTAGTCAATACTTCGTCAGCCTGAATAATTGCATTACGTGCAGTAATAAATGATGGACGACATGGTTGTAATTTCATACCATCAACTACCAATTGTAATGTTAATGTATTGCCATGTTTAGGATGTTTAAGTGTATGAACACCTGAGGATGATTTAAAGTTATACCACAAAGCGTCATTGGTATCATTTGTAGGTGGGAACCATTGTGATGTAAATCCATGTTTGTCTACCAAATTCCAATATACTTCGTACAACATTTCTGCCCAAACAGCTCTATTACACGCGAGGAAAATAAATAAAACAAATCGAGTATGAAAGTTAGTTATCAATGAAATCGAAATTTTAACAGAGTTCTTTAATGAATAATTACCCTTTAGCATGTACGCCCCAGTAACCAGGTTTATCCATGACTGAAAATGTTTCGGGATTGTTTTTTAACGAAGTGGAATACTACATATATCATAAATGTTATAAGTTTAATCTTTTTTTTTATCAAATGAAATAAAATGTGATAATCAAACAAGCAACTACTTACAGGATATTTTCTTATCCCTTTACCACCGTTAGCCCAATTTCCCATACCAAATTCCTTGTCACGACCATATGAAGGTTTCATACGTAAGATGGTAGCAAAGAAATCACCCCATCCTTCTCCCATACCACCCGCTTCTCCCCATCCTAAACATCCACTATTTGCTGGTCCTCCCGTTAAACGGGTGGAAATTCCATGGGAATATTCATGAATCTATCATTACAGAAAAGAAATAATTTACTTTTTTTTAAAAAAAAAAATATTTTTTTTTTAAACGAAAAAAAAAATTCATTGACGTTACTTACAATGATTCCGGATTCCAAATCACCATCTCTCCATGGATTGATTACATCCCAAACGTACATGCGCATTTTACCATGTTGTCCATCTGGTGGCGTGGCAAAGTTGGCATTATTAAATCCAGATCCATCTTGTGCATTGGCAATTACTGGATCGTTGTCTTTACCACCATTACCATAGTTTTCTTGTTGGAAGTTACCAGCAACTTCATCGAACCCGTATCTATAAAACAAATCATGAACCTAACCAAAAAAAAAAAAGTAAAATATTAAAAGACGAAACAAAAAAATATACAGATATATTAATAAAAGCGAATTATACATACCATGTTGTTCCAATAGAATAGATTAGTTATAGAGGCATCGATATAAGACTTTGGTACATCAGATAAATTCAACGGGAAGTCAAATAACAATAAGTCATCACCATCAGGTCTATAATTATTCTCCCATTCCCATCTCCCATCTAGATTTTCATGAGCATAAACGTTATTACCAATGGTAGTGGTAAAATTACGTTTTCCTTGACTATGCCAACCATTACGTGAGGCAATGATGTCATGAGGATCGATTTGTAAATCACGATCTCCCTCTTCAGGATCATTTACCCCTAGCGGAAAGACATTATAAGACGCGTCTGCGACCCAATCCATTAATGCTATTAATTCACCTGTTTGAGCATCAACATGAGCGTGGTACCAATTATTTTCCATTTCAATTTGTATATCCCAAACTAATTGTAATGACATGTCGTCTAATTGAAGATAATTTTGTGATAATTTAACGGGTGATAAAGCGAAAGGGATCTTTTCAAATATCAAATGCTCTTGATCATCTTCATTAAACGATTCATAATATCGTAAATTTTCTGATGGTGGAATCGTTTGATTGATATATGTCGCAAATGATTTTAACGCATCAAATGGTGATATTGTTTCTGCAATTTCACTATTAATCTTATATTGAACGGTATCATAATCGTTAACCTTTTCTTCTTTAAGGTTTGGTGGATGAGAGGAAATGATAACTTGACGAGGATTAGAAGTTATAAAATATTTTCCATTATTTATGACGACACTATCTTCAAAGGAATCTTTTGTCGAGAATTTTTCAAGTCCGGTTAAATTAGGTGGTAGTACAAAGCTATCACCGTAAGAGATTACTCTACCAAATTTATCAATATTAATATTTAAGTCACCGTTAATAACTTGTAACCCGTTAACAACTTGTTTAAGATATACGTGAGTGATTCCATTATGTTCGGATTTATAAATATTTTTAACGATAAAATCAGCATATGGGTGGAGACTTTCTTTAACAAATAGAATAGCAATTTCTCGAGGTGATAATCCTCTGTTTGGTGAGGTCAATGCGTTAAAGGAAGGGTTTGCAGTATTTATGGAATCTGGTGATATATATGATCGATGATGAAGTTCCGGTCCAAAATTTCCATTGTTCCTTGAAACTTGTGGAGTAGTAGTTGAATCCTTAATAACATGAGCTCTACCATTGGTCGCCAAGGTCAATAGAGCCCATGCTAACGCGAGAGTCGTTGCCGCTTTCATACTTTTTAATTAATAATTTAATGGGTAAAATTCTTTGTTAAAAAAAAAAAAAGTTCATTAAAAAGAATCACCCTAGGTTGAATGCTATGAAAAGACTGCATTATTTATAAGAAATAATTGTAACACCTCTTCGGAACCAAATTGTTCTTGGGATAATAAGACTTACATAATCAACATAATCAAACAAATATCTATGCAAGGTTGTCACTTGACAATCCACAAAATTAAAAAAGTCAAATTGTATAACGATGTACCGCATTTAAAATATAATGTTATTATTGGTCAAAAAAAAACTTTTATTTTTATTTTGAATAAATAATGTTGTTCCTTTCCCTATTAAATTAAAATATTTAAGGAGTAAGACGATAAAAAAGGTTAAAATGATTTCATTTAGTGATAAGGGATCAAATTACCCATATTTGATCTATTTTTCTCGCCCAATGCATTGCAATCGCTTAAAACCGATTTGAGAAAACATTGTTCATAAAAATGTAAAACGTGAATTAAATGCGAAAGCGTGAACGAACTGTAAAAAATTCTTTCATATCAAGCATTAAAAGCATTTATAGAATTCTATAAGATGAAACTAGATATTTCGAAAAAATTTATCAGTTTTAATCTCCGGAATTTTTAAATTCGTCTTTTATTTGTAAAGAGATTTGATATAAATGGTAAGTAAATAAATTTATTCACTCTTTTTAGAGGTACTATTATCTTCTAATTCTTCTAATTTCTCTAATTCATTTTCACTTTCTTCGCTATTTTCTTTGAATTTTCCATCATTATTCTCGGTATCCATCATACTTTCGTCCAATTTATTTTCTTCATCTTCAGCTTGCTCATTGTCTACGGTCATCATCTCTTCGTTATTTTCCTCATTTTTATCTTCATCCTTTTGTTCATCATCATCAGATGAATTCAAAGTATGTTCATTTTCGGACTCATTTTCTGAATCTTCATCAGATTCTCTTCCTTTTCCTTTAGTCATTCTTTTTAATTCTGCAACTTGAGCCTTCATTCTATCGTGAATTTCGGATACTCGTTTATCACAAGATTCAATCTCTTGTTGCTTTTGTGAAATTTCTTCTTTAGCAGAAGCAATTTTACTGGTGAGCCGTCCCTGTTATTATTTAATGAAATTCAGTAATTACGAACAAGATGTGAAGATAAAATTTATTTAATTACATATAAAAAAAAAATAAACCTGTATTAATGGATTGATTGCAGATGCGAAGTGAGTTTCGAGATTATTTATATCTTGTTCTAATCTGGAAATTTCTGTTGTTAACTCTTCACGTTTGCTAAATATTTGTGTTAATTCCGCTATAAAATTTTACACAAAAAAATTTAATATTATTATTTAATTATTAAAATAAGAGTATTTGTTCAACTTACGATCTTCATCCACGCTATCATCATCATCCTCCGATGCTGAAGATGATGCTTCTGAATCTGTCGTTTCTTCATTTTTATCACTATCATCATCATCAAAATCTGACATCTCATCAATTTTTTCAAGAGCATTCTCAAACTCCTTTTGCAAATCATCGTTATATTCCTTAGGTGTTGTATACATCTGATCCTCGTCGGGAATTTCCTCTCCCAATATCATTGTATCGTCTTCTAATTCGGCATCATAATCATCTTCTTCACCTTGTACTTCAACTTCCTCTTGATCTTCCTCCTCGGGTATTTTAGATCCGAGATATGCGGCTGGTGTTGCTGTTTCCGAGTCAAGGGCATCTTCCCATACTTTATTCGATAAAATTGACTTTCATCAGTTAAAGTATTTAACATTTAAAAAGGTATCTTTAAAATACATACCCAGCTTTACTTCCTCTGCTAACGAATCTTCATGTAATAATTTTTCAACCTCTTTTTCGATATCTTCAATTTTCTGTATTATCAATCAATAAAATCATGAGATTATGGAAAATTTATTAATTATTATTAAATTAAAATAAATTTCTGAGAGGTCACCCTGAATCTCCTTAAACCAGATTTCATGATTTAATCCGATCTTTTAAGTATTAACCAACAAGGACATTGCAGTTGCCTGACAAGATGGATAATATTTTCCTGGTTCATTTCCTTTGTTAAAGGATAAGAGAACACATTCGTATATGTCGTGTTTCGCAAAACCTCGAATTCGTTTTTGTTTGAATGCGACATTCTCTCATTACATACAAAAACAAAAAAAAAGTATTTAAAAAGTATTTCACCTTTGCAGATATGCGTTTTCTGAATCTTCTTTTTCTGACATTCTTCAGGGAAGGTGTTAATCCGTCATACCATTCAAATTCATCAACATTTGAAGATTTGGAATTTTCAGTAAATAATTGTTCATCTTCCTGAGATGAAATCTGAGATTCTACAATCAACATCTGAGGTGATCATGCAAAAATAAAATAAAATAAAATAAAATAACAAATGAATGAATCAAAATTTCATTGTATTAACTAAATGAAAAAAAAAGGGGTAACAATTAAAGATTACCTGACATATGTCAGCAACCTTGTAGTATTGTATTTTATTGAAAGTTTTTTGAGCCTCTATAATACAAGGTAAATCAACTAATCTAGCACGATACTTTTGATTCTCAAACGTAAAGATTGCACGACGAGGATCTTAATATTATAAATTAAACGAAAATTTATCCGAATTAACAAATTAAAAAAAAGATCTCCTCCATAAAAAATTTACCTTTAAAAATGATTCCGATATCTTCGATAGATTTTCCACTTTTAACCTTTTCTCTAAATCTTTGTTTAACGTCCTCGGGGACCATCAATCTTAAAATAAATTGCTCCTCAACGGGAACGTCTTTATCCTCGATATCATCGTCTTCAGGTATTTTACCCAATATAATGGGCCTTTTTTTTGTACCCGTGTGTGCCAGATGCTGCTTTTGTTTCTCCTTTGAAGAAATTCCCAGCTTTGGAAGCTTGATTTTTAAAGGAGCTGACGTCTTTGAAGAACCAGCGGTCGCCGAAGTGACCGTTGAACTTGTAGTAGGATGAACAAGACTTTTTTTAGAGTCTTTAGGTCTTCCCATAATTTTTTATTATTTGTAAAATTTCGTTCGTAGAATTCGTATTGCTTTTATATTTGTCGTTAAACATACTAGATTAAAATTTTGACGTTTAGGTGTAAGAGTTGAATTGAACCACGTGTTCAATATTTATACTACATCTGTATCTTCTAAAAAATTTTTTTATCAACCAATCAAAATTTTCTTTTTTTTTTTTTTTTTTGACAATGAATTCTCTTAATCGAAATTTCCGTTCTTTATTAAAACATTTAAAATTCATTTCTCCGTCTTGACGTACTTTTAGTATTGGAATTTGTTAAAAAAGATTCTTTGACTCGACACCTTTCTATATTCCTCAAATCTTTTAATATATATATATATATATATAAATGTCAACATTATCCCGTTTCACTACAGCTTGGAAACATATAAGGTTTCCATGGCGTTCAATAGTTTATGTAGGATCGGATAATATAGGTAATGAGTATTATGAAAGCACTAGACAAATTAATGGTCGAACGAAAAGAATGGTTGAATTAAAAGTCAAAAAGGATTTGATTGATTATAGTGGTGACGAAGTCCCTGGTAAGTGAATTTCGCGTTAATTTAAAATCATGTTTATTAAATTTAATCTATAAATTTATTAAATATATATATGGGCACATTATAGTGCAATGGGAAAGTTGGCTGAGACATACCAGATACGATCCACCTACAATAGAAGTAAGTGGGAGGAAAAAAAAGTTGCATATATGTTTAATCGAGGTTAATGAAAAAAATATATATATATAGGAAATCGTATTAGCTAATAAACGACGCGAATTGATTATTGAAAGAGCGAAAAAATTGGATCAAGAATACGAAGAGGTCGGGATCATTTATTTTAACTCCTTTGAATTTCGTCGAAGTAAATTCTTATCTAATCTATTTTAGCGAAAGGCGAAACTTGCGAGTGAACAATCGAAAGTTCAGCAAAATGCTCCAACGGAAGCTGAAGGTATATTATTATTTATTGTTCATCTGAATTAACATACCGAAAAATATATTTATTGACGGAACTTTTGAATAGGAGGTAAAAAATCTTTTGCACATGAATTTCCTCCAACAATACCCGGTGATGCATTTGAGCCCGAAACTTGGAATCCAATTCCCAAGAAAAAATAAAAAGCTGATTCAATTGTAAGAATAATAGTAACATTTAACTTGTTAATTTGTATTTGATTAATGGTAAAAAAAAAAATATAAATAAAAACACAGAATAAATAAATATACATATATAGAATAAATAAATGTCACACTATTATGATTTTTCGATATATATACACGGCCCTATAGCGTTTTTGATGTTGTAATCTAAAATAACTTAAAAATAAAACAAGTTCTTTTTTGTCATTAAAATATATTTAATATCACCTTTTTTTAATGTTACCACAACGAGTAAAAAAAAATTCGTTGAAAGTTACACATTCTTAATGTCAAAATGATATCCCAAATAGTATTAGCGCAGCAATCAGCAGGCCAAAAAAAAATTCCACTCTTACTACGTAACAAGCACATTTTTAATTTCAATTTTAAAGGTTTTTTTTTATAAAAAAAAAATATTTTTTAGTCGAAAATTTTTTTTTTTTTTTTTTTTTTTTAAAAAAAAAAAAAAAAAAAAAAAAATCAAGAAAATTATGCTAAACTACTACTATCATCATGAGGTGGTAATAAGGGTTCTCTAAGATCATTTTGTGGGTAAGAGACCCTTCTTCTAGATGGCCTTGAACCATTAAATGCCGTAAAGCTTCCACCATATTTGTACCACACAACAAAAATAACTAGAAATTGTAAAATTGCCAATATCAAACAAGTAATGGATAGATATTTCGTTTCACGTTGATGCGCAGCAATCCCAAGCAAGGCCCTACGCATTTTATTATAACGAAAATTCAAGGAAAAAAAGATTATTTTTTTTTTTTAAAAAAAAAAAAAAGAGAAAGCAAAGATATAAAGACAAAATTTTTTCGAGTACAGTACATACCAAGCGATAGTAGCACCAAATACACCGTCCCTTTTCCCTCTCATAAACGCGCCAGTAATGCTCCAATCAACGCCAATCATAGCCATAATACAAGCTAATACGACAGCGATAATGGCATATCTTTTTTCATAACCTTGAGCAAAGATAATAAACCCATTATGAAATAGATTTAACAAGGAAAAGGCTGAAAGCATTGCAAATGGGGTATGAACGAAAGAAATAATCTTGGATGCAACGGACTCTGGAAGTTGATTTGGAGGATAGTTGACCGCGAGACGATGATGAACTATTAATGTAGAGATTAAAGTCAAGAGAACGAAAAGTTCCGCAGGAATGAAACTTTTCCGCATCTAAAAAGTCCAAAACTTATAAGTTGACATGAATTAAAAAAATTTCGCGAAACTAATCGATCACTTACCAAGAAACATAATTGACCAAATAAAAATAAATTACTAAGCGTAAACCACCAACTAACGGTATTTTCTACAACGTTTTGTACAATATGAACATTACTAAATTGAACGAAAACGGCGAATACGATTTGTAAAATATGTAGAATAACCCAAAATATTCCTACAGATGTTAGTGAAGGGGTAAAATAAGTAGGATAATCATCATATATATCATTACTTGAATGAGAAAATATTAAAAAATCAGTATTTAAATAGGAAACCAATAAAATGGATATAAGATTGAAAGTTCGTAAAGTTTTTAATGTAATTGATGGAGAGTGAATTGTTAATTCTAAATTGTCTGATTGAGACATTGTGATATAAATTGAGGGAGAGAAAAAAAAGAGCGATTTTGGGGAAATAAATAAATAATAATTAAAAAGGACTAAAAAAGTGTGAGAAAAAGCGGGAAATTTAATATCGCATAATGATATTTTGTTTTGATTTTTAATTTTCACCTAATCCGAAATAATTAATGACTGAATGCGCCAATGTTACACAATACGAAACAAAATTCCGGTTCAATTTTTTTGGTCGACACGCATTGGTCTTTTATGGTTAGTATTTAAATTGGAACGAGTTTATTCTCCCTTAATTTTTCATTATTCAAATATTTTTATCGAACATCTGAGCTTTTAATAGTAAATAAAAATCTTAAACGCACTACAAAAACATTAATAAACGCGTAAATTTTGCTAAAAATGATGAAACTAAAAAAAAAAAATGTAAATGGTTCAATTATAATAATTATAATGATACACGGTTATAGAAGAGGTTGTTTCAGAAGAAAGTTGAAAGATGAACGCGATTAACCTCAAGGTGATATCAAAATGTATTTCTACGGATAATTTTGTCACTACTTTTACGTATCATCACCAGTTGCACTAGGCCGAACTCTGGGATTCTTGATATAACAGTGGTGAAAATGTCAACTTTCTATCGTTTTTCCTATTGCTTCAAATATACCATTGATAATTATAAATAAATCACGTTTATATTTTTGAAAATGTTTTCATCAGCGTGTAATTCTATATTTGGAAAAAATATTTGGAAATATTATAGGTAAAGTAAATTGACCATATTAAATAAACTTATACCATGTTAAAACATTATATTATTACATTAAATTAAAAAGAGAAAAAGAGAAAACTATAATAAAATAAAAATATTAAAATATTAAGTAAATTATGTTAAATATAATCATTCAATAATGGTAGCAATAATGCTACTAAATCGATTTAAATCAGCTTTAGGTAATTTTCTAGAATTAGGGATGGTGGAGATATCAAGTTTTTCACTATCAGAAGTGCAAGATGTTGCATTTGATTGACGAGAACGAATAGGTTTCGGTAAAGGAATTCTGTTTGCAATAAAGTAAGCCATTCGTTCAATAGCCCTTCTTGAATGTTTACCAAATGCAAATTTTAAAATGGGATAAGCATGAACCATGTCTTCATCCATCTCAACGACAACATCAGGATGCCGTCCATCCAATGAATTATTAATGTTAAGATTTTTACTATCAAAGAACGTACTTGCGATAATGTCTGAAGTTGGAACAGGAGTTGGATTGTAAAGTTTTTTTGATTCGATAACTTTTCGAATAAACATTTCAATATCATCTTTAAATAATTCTTTACCACCGTATGTAACTAATAACGGTGGAAATTTTGCCAAAATATGATGAGGAGTATGTAATGGACTGATCAAAGGATTTCGATAAGGACTTTCTTTCATATCCGTTAACTCTACTTTATCATCCTTTGTTTCCTTTGTTTGATTCTCATTTGTTGCCTCTTCTTCGACTAAAGGATCACGTTTTTTTAAAAGATCGTCAGACTTGATACTAATAAAACTATCACGAAGATGGGATAATCTTTTTCTCGTTTTATCATTATTTATGTTACTGCTTAACCTTTTCCAGATATTTTCTACATCTAAATCAAAATTATCTTCAACTTTTGATAACCATTCCATAATTTTATCTTTCTCATTTCGTTGTTGCCATAATGGATCGTCTTTATGCGCCGGATTTCCTTCCTCACCAAAGATATAACTTTCTGCGAATTGTCCCAAATGTTCCGATGGCCAATCAAATTTGGCATTGGTAAAGAATGATGACGTGTCACATGTTAAGTCCACCCATGGTGATATTAATAATCCTCCAAGTGGTAATGGTATATTATCATTTGTACCTATATGTAATTTTTGTAATAACGCCAAGATTAAGCCACCTCCGGCGGAATCCCCGCATAAAAATACGTTTTTACTACCTGCGATACCACTTTTAACCAACCAATCGTAAGCTCTCTCGGCACAATTCAATCCGATAGGAAATGATTCTTCTGGCGCAAGTGAATAATCAATTGCTAATACTCTAACGTGTTTATCATACCGTTTACGTAAAGTTTTTAACAAATAGCATAATGAATTTATGGCAATCAATGATGTTGACGTAACGTACCCTCCTCCGTGAAAATATAATATCGTGGCCTCACTTGTTTTTTTTTTATACTTGACTGGTCCTAACCAGTATCCTTTAATTCCCATCTCTGTATCTTTGGGTTTTAATGATTCAAATCGCTCGCTACAGTGAAATGTTTTGTTTAGAAATCCCATAAATGAACTTGTTTTACGTAATGTTTTCAGCGATGTGTCGGTTGACCTTTTCATTGTACGAAGTAATGTTTCTTGATAAATTGTTAAACTTGAAATTATTTTTTCTTCCATTATTATGTGATTAAAAAATACTAGCGGATACATAAACACTGATGATTGGAAGTGATTCATTAATATGATTTATTGATTTCAAACTTGTTTACAAAATTATTACTTACACGCATATATCGTCATTCCGATAGGACCTTTTCTGTTTAAAAAAAAAAGGAAAAAAAAAAAAATTAATAATTTTTTTTAAAATATTATTTAGATTTGTTCTTTTCTTTTTTTCATTTACATGATGATAGGCCAATATGATTCATTCTCAAATCTTTTGCGTAATTTTTCTCGGTTTGCCACTGCTTCCAATTTTTGGAATGTTGCTTCTAGGTTCACTTGACGATCTACCGATTTTTCTGACATCATGCAATGTGCCGGATCCAGTCCGTCGTGATAAATTTTGTTTGTTCAAGAATTTGAAAAGGAAAAAAAAAAAAAAAAAAAAAGAATATAAAAACAAAAGGTAAAGCCATCTATTTATATTTTTTTTTTTTTTTTTTTTTTTTGACGCTTTTCCCCATATTAATTGCTACACATGGGATGATAAACCATACTTTTTTCAAATAAAAGATCAACAGAATAAAGGATGATGATAATAAAACCGTATTTTTATTCTATCGTTTTTGATTGTCGCATTTTTTTTCCTACTATAATTTTTTACTAAATTTGTACAGGATCCAAAATTGTGACTACAAATTTAAAAAATAAAAAGGGATGCGTTTTTGGCCATTGTATTTTTGATTAGAGAAGATTTTATTAAAAAATTTTTTTGACTTCATAGGTATCAAACCATTGTTCTAACGTGTATCTTATATATCGCTCAAGTTCCAATAACTTAAAAAAAATATGCATTTAAGAAGTGTACCTATAATTAACACCCGGTGTTGATCACATGTAAAATTATAGGCCTGTACAACATATAAATCAGGAAGATGACTTTTGACTTGTAAAAATGGCGATCTTTTTTAAATAGATTAAACAAAATATAAATTACTGAAATGGAATTTCAAAAATATAGTTACTTTATATTGTAATAAGATTATGACTATTTATTATATTTAAAAATACCATTAAATAAAGATTTTAGTAATAAACAAAAAGTTATAATATCTGCCAAAAAATCCATATTATAGTGTTTTTTTTCATGGTAAACCAATTTTTTTTTTCAGCAAAAACCTGGTGCTAATTTTATATATACTGTAATATCTATAAAAGGGACCATTTGCTTATATCTGAAATTTTAGCAAAGATAACTTAGAGTAAATTTAGAAAAAAGTTAATAATTACAAATAACATTCAAAAATAAAGAAAGAATACAATATAATCGAAGTTCCTTAACTATTTAAATAAACTGTCTAAAATTCTAAAAATGTGTAGTAACTAAAAATTAACTAATACTTCTAGACAGGTTACATAAAAACAAAATATCATCTAATGATATTATTAAAAATTCTATATATCTAGGAATAAAATAATAAAGAAATAAAATTATTTATATAAAAAAAAAAACATTTTTTTAAAACATAATTTACTAATCATCTAACTCCTGAAGCCTTACTAAATGATTTCTATAGCCACTTTTCTAAATACATTTAATTAAAACTACATTTTCAAATTCCAATGTTCTAATATTTCCAATTTTCTGAAATTTCTAATATCCCAAATTTTATTATTCTAAAATTCTTAATATCTTGAAGCCTGATATTTTAAATCTTAATATTCTGAATTCTAATTAAGCCTAATTTTTCAAATTCTAATATTCCAATTATATAAATGATATTATATACTTGATTATTAAATAATAATTAAAATATTTAATTGTTTTAAAATATAATGAAATTATTCTAAAATATTTATAATTGTTCTAAAATGAAAAAATTTTGCATTCTTAATTTAGTTTTTAATATTTTTCTTTATTTTTTTTTAATTTTGTTATTTTATTTACTATAAAAGAATATTAATAAAATTATTTGTATTTTATTTTATAATAATTACAATATTTCTTTATCAATTAAAGTATTAAAATTTTATTTCATCTTATTTCTTTATTATATTTTAACCTTATATTATATAAGAAATAAAAAAATATGATAATAATTCTTTTTTGATAATAATAATAAAAATAATTATGTAAAATATGGAAGGTGGTTAGTAGAAAAGATGAAAATCTACTTTTTAGTTAAAATTTTTTTATTGGTTCATTCTACTGATTATGATTATATAAACAAAATTAGTTTAATAATTAAAATTACTCAAATTTGTAAATTTTTTTCTTTTTTATTAATCGCTTCTTATATGTAATATTACATTAGAAAAAATATTATAGAAATTTCAATCATTATTATAATATAGAAAGTTTATTAGAAAAATTAGATTCTAAGACTTTTTAACAAAATTTGATTTTTTGTATTTTAGTTTTTAACTTTATAAGAATTATAATATAATAAGGTCTTAATTTTAATTAAAGAAATTTTTAGAATCTGATTTTTCTAGTAAACTTCCCATATAAGTTTTTTGAACTGAATTTTTTAAAAATTTGATTAACTATTTTATTTTTATTTTTAAATTAAATTATTAATTTAGAATTGAAATTAAAGTCTTTATAATACTAAAATATGGAGACCATTGTTAAGTTTAAAAATTATTTAAACTTTTGTGCAATTGTAACATCAACTTAATTATTGAACAGGTGGATATCAAAATATTTTATATAAAAATATATAGCCTTTCATTTCATTCTAGACTAATTAACTATATATAATATAAGGTATTTCATTATTTATTTTACTCAATAATTGAGTTGATGCTAATTAAGTAGAGTAAAAATGAGGGTTCTTAGGTCAAATCTGAAATTATATTCAGAAAGGTTCCTAATCATATTTTCAAAGCCTTCTAGCTATACAAATCCTCTATTAAATTTAAAGTTCTAGCCCAAATTTAAGCTTTTTCCCACTATCTAATATTTAATATCAAATTTGTATTAAATTATCTTGCAAGATACTAAGAATAAAACAATCTCTTATAGCCTTTCTAGCCCAATTTTAATCTCAAATAATATATCAAAAAAATATACCATTCTGTTTGAGTTCGAGACAAAGCAAGATTGACAAGAACTAAAGATTCGAAACTAAGCTCATAGAGTCTTTGCAAATCTTATATGTATACTATTATTTATATTATTCTAGAATTAATTCTAAAATTGATTCATTGATGAAATCAAAGGTCACTAAGTCTAACTTTTGGTATCTATATGCTAAGTCTATCCTCAAAAAAGTTAGATTTAGCAATTAACAAATTTATAGTTTTAAAAACTATAGAATATATTCTAGTATATCATTATTTTTTAATATATATGAAATCTTTCTAAAGGCATTTATATTACGCAAACTCAAAGTCAAAAAATCTAACCTCTAGCATAAAAAATTGGGTTAGAGGTTAGACCTTCCTTTTTTCTCACTAGATTTGAAAAAAAAGCTAAGCTTTTTCAGTGATAGCTTCAAAAAAGGGTCTCACCTGAAAAGTATATTTGATCTAATTGCCTAGCATTATCCCAAAGCTTGTTTACATGACGGATTTGATATTTGCTCTTATTACAATAGTTACATAGGTTATTATCTACACCTATAGGTTTATCTATCTTTGTAGGTCTACTATAAGCAAAGTATGACTGACATTTCTTAGCTTTGAAGTGTGATCGATAACCTTCAGATCTAGTATTACGTCTGCCACAAATTTCACTAGTATTAAAAAGATAATAACAAATAAATTTTACTTTTACTTTAGCAACTTTGCCTATTTTATAGTTATATAATTAATTTTAATTAAATAAATCTTTACACAATTTAGCAACACATATACTAATTACACAATGAGTACACAAATTCAATTAACTAAAACAAAGCTCACATATCAGAAAATCGAACAGGCATTAATAAATGTCGTTAAGGCTAGCATTTATTATAGAAGGTCAAAGGAAGGTAAATTTTTGCAATTATATAAAGAAAGAGTCAAGAATTTGCATCAGGTAAAAGATCCTGATGAATAGAAAATGCAAAAAGATTGTTTCTAACTAAGGATAAGTATCATCAAATCATGGATGACTATAAATCTTGGTATGGAAAAGATCCAAAAATTCTCAATGCTGTTATAGATCTATATAAGTTATATTATAAATTAGCTAAGGATTATTTTAATACAGAAGAACAGATTAATGAAAAAATCGAAGACTTCTTATCATCAATTTGATAAGACCCATTGGAAAGATAATTTCATATCATTTATGACTTGAAGCTCCTCCCTTATAAAGGATCTTTTCGGACTATTTCTCTTATCGTCTATTAGCCAATATAAGACTAGCTAATTTTTTGTACTAAAGATTCGCGAATATGATAAACTTGAGAAGATTAATTCATATCAGTAACATATCTTCTAGCAGAACTATATTTTAACTTTCCTGGTTTAAGAAGATATCTCATTAAGGATTATAGTTTCTGTTTAAGTTCAGAAAATTGCTAAAAGTCTGTGTTGTAAATAATTATTTGAAGAAGTCTCAGATGGGTACCTCAATAGGAATATTATTAAAACTAAATGAAAGATCAGATAAAGAAATGTTATTGAAAGCTAAAGATAGAGACAGCAAGTGACAACCTTCTTTTGCTAATTTATCCGCTATATTATTATAGTAATTTCCTATATATGCTTTGATTTTATGAAGTGAGACGTAGAGGTTGAGGTATTTAATGATATAGCAGATAATTTTTCAAGTTGTATAATTAGGAACTTTTTCAAATTTTCTAAGTGAAAGCTAGTTAAGAAACATATACTTATTAAATCTGTGAATAATGTTTTGACTATCTAAGTAAACCTCTATAACCACTTTGTTGAAGAATACTATAAGAGCTGTTAGAAGGGTATACATTTTAGCTCTTGTTAAAGAAGGCTAGTTAACTAGTGAAGCTTTAAAAAGATAGAGGTTATTTATAGGATTTATATCTATTCAACCCAGTCTCATCTTACAAGTATCTGCTCAAAATCCTATTAAAGATCTATCTGTATAGAATTTTATTAGTAAAATACCGTTAAAGGCAAATTAGATGTATTTAAGCATTGATGAATTTGTCGAGGGATCAATGAACAAATCAATAATATTGTTTGAAGGTAAATCTGTTAGAATGTTAACAATTTATGTGTCAAAAAGATCATCTGAGTAATACAAATACAGTAGCGATCATAAGTATCTGACCACCTGAAATCATCCAAAATTATTATATAACTACCCCTTAAATTTTTCAAAAATATAATGTAATATAATACATGATCACCTGTAAATTTATAAGTATCGATAATACAAAAAAAAAATTTAGATGATCATCAAACTTTCGCTTGAAAAATGAAACTTTCTTTAAAGAAACGATATGAAATTGTCTTTTTACGTGAATACCCAGCTGGTCTAAAGTTTAATTTTGAATTTATTACTAAACAGGTATGTTGTAGTAAATTTATAGCTATTTATTGGGTTAAAAAATATCATAAAAATCAGGATCTAAGTACTTCAGAAAAACTGGGACAGCCTTGTATAATATTCACGAAACAAGATGACAAGATTGTAAAAATGGCAGAGAAAGAACATAATATAACAGCCATTCAAATACAAGAAAAAATGGAAGAAAGAGGTGTTAGGCTTAGTGTAGAAACAGTAAGGCGACGTCTTCGTAAGTCTGGAGGAAAGTTTAGTAATGAAATTTCTAAACCTTTGCTTAAAGAAGACCATTGAAAGAAAAGGTTGCAATAGGCAAAAAAACATAAGAATTTTGATTGAAATCGAGTTGTCTTTACAGATGAGAGTATATTTCAATTATATACATTAAAAAAAAAGGTTTGGCAGTTTCCTAGTAGAAAAAAAGTGTTTTGTTCTGTTAAGCATTCACCAAAAGTTCATGTTTAGGGATGTTTTTCTGCTTCTGAATTTGATAAGCTATTTTACTTTCAAAGGAACCTTAATGCTGAATTTATGTGTACTATTTATAAGAAGGGTTTTCTGACTTTCACCTTTAAACTTTTTGGTGAAGGTAACATAGATTGGATCTTACAAGAAAATAATAATCTAAAGCATCGATCAAAAATCGTGAAAAAATAGAAGGAAGAAAATAAAATTGAGGTACTTTCTTAGCCATCAATGTCTCTAGACCAAAAATCCTATAGAAAACATTTGAAGGGTAATAAAAATTAATATACAAAAAAAAAAATTTGATCAATTATAGGGTTAAAGGGGGAACTTACAAAAGAATGGAACTGATTATCACTTGTATTTACCACGAATTTGGTAGCTAGCATGAAAAGGCGTACAGCTGCACTTATAGAATCAGATAGTGACTACACAATGTATTAATTTTAGTTAGTTGGTTATGTATTTTTTAAATAAAAAAAAATTTTTGAATTTACTTACTTGTAGCCAGAGTTAGAGGCAGTCGGATATTTATGATTGCTATTATAATTGTGATTCATTAATTTTAATGAGTTATTTTATATATTATAAAAAGTTTAGAATATATTTGCTCAAATTAATGATATTATTAGAATTTATTTTAATTAGTTAAGTAAAGGTATCATTTAAATTATTAATAATATTTATGCAAATTATTCATATTCTTTATAGCATTTACCTATAAGTAAAAAAAAATCTGATAAGAAAATTATTAAATTATTATATATACTATTAAAAGTTTTTGCAATCTATTCAATATTCTTCAATATTAAAAAAAATAAAATCTTTATAGCTGATTATATAGTCTATAATTAATAATATATAATAATATATATATGTAAATTTCAATCAATAATATGAAATAAATGAATACAAAGTTATAAATTACTATGCTTTGATTTTTGAAGATTATAAATTTAATATCTAATAAGATTATTAGTTTGACTAATATTAAGGCCATAACAGATATTAGCTGATATTTATTTATTATAGGAGGAACCACCCCCCTCTCTCATGAGATAACTGATATATTACACAAGAGGTTATTATAAAATTATATTAAATTTTCGTATTACGTATTGTTTTGCGCCTTTTATTTTTCTACGCCTTTATCTTTTGTCTTCGTATACTGCGCCTTTCAGATACTACGCCTTAATTTTTTGATTTGATCAATAAATCATTTAACAAAAAGTAAAAGAGCAAAACTTTTTTTTATATATAATGTTTATTTTAATTATATTAAATTTTTGCGTTATGACATTCTTCTACATCTTTTATCTTTCTATGTCTTTTATCTTTTATCTTTCGTATACTGCACCTTTTGTATACTGCGTCTTAATTTTTTTGACTTGAACAATAAATCGTTTAATAAAAAGTAAAAGAGCAAAACTTTTTTCATATATAGTGTCTTATTTTTACTTGGCTTTAAAATGCAAAAATTTCTTATTACACCAAAATATAACAAAAACTACATTTATATAAATCTAACTATATTGCATCAGCAGTTTACAAATGCATATGCCTATTATTGCATGGTAAAGACTGAAAATCTTACATATAAAAAATCAGACCTTTATGTAGAATCTACAAAAATATGGAAAGAAATTAAAAAAAATTCAGAAGAAGAAATTAAAGATCAAATCAAAACTTATTTTGCTACACCCATTCTTTTGCATTTGCAAGGTTTTATACAATCACGTTCTTCTTATACTCCACAATCACCCGATCCTCAGCCATTAAATTCTACGAGATAAGATATGATCATTATCAAAGAAGAAGTGCCTAAAAATACTGCAGTACAGAAAAAAACTCTTGCTAATAAAAAAGAAATAGCTACGAAATTACTTAATTTACAAGAATCCTACAAAATAACAAAAGATCCAGAATTAAAGCATGATATTTTACAACGAATTGTATCAACTGAAAAAGTAATAGCTGATGAAACTAAAAAAATTAAAACATTAAAATGAAACGCAAATTATCAAGTAAAATCAGCAGCAAAAAAATTAAAATTACTACATAAAAATCAAGAAATAGTGAAATATGACTCACCTGGTTGACCATCTATTCTTCATACATATCCTGATCTTCATAAACATATTTATAATTGCATTAAATTTAGAAAGGCACATGAAAAATGAAGACAAGAAGTAATTAAAGTAAGAATAGTTCATCATCTTCATTCTACATTAGAGGAAAAATATAATGAATATCTTGTAAGAACAACATTGAATACATACCTTTTACCTTGAAATTCTTTAAGCTTTGCTGCAAAAGCATATCATCATTTCATATTAGTAGTAGTAGCAGGTGTTTCTAGAATGAAAAAAAAGAACATATTGATAAGCACTATTGTCTTACTTCTGTTAAAGGAGCAAAACAATTTGCTGCATTATTTTCTTTCCATTCTATTATTATTTCACAAGATGATAAAACAAAAGTCCCTTTTAGTATTCCTACTATTGGTAGAACATTTCAAACAATACAATCAATTCAAGAAGCTGTTTTAGTTGTAGATCATGATTTTCTAACTGGAGCTCAACAGAAATTGATTCCATCTGTTTACCTTACTATTGATCCTTCAAATTCTAATGATACACTTTGTCATGATCAATTAGGTATTTTTGTTCATTCATAATATAATATAGATACAAATGCAAATACACATATGGCAGATTTAATTTCATTCACTCATCAAGAATCATTTGCTAGTATTTTTAAAAATAATGATCAAATTAAACCAATTTGTGTTCTTCTTGTTAATGGAAGGCTGGATGAAAATCCTCAACATCTAAAAAATATATATGAATATTGTAAATTATTCCAACTTCTTGATCTTGATTATTTAACAATAAGAAAACATGCTTCTGATCAATCAGCATATAATCCCGTTGAAAGAAGTATGTGTACTCTTTCTGGAAAGTTAGCTGGCATAACTTTACCAATTGATATATTTGGTTCTCATTTGAATAATCAAGGAAAGGTCAGAGATTCAGAACTTGCAAAGAAAAATTTTCGTCATGTTGGAGAAGCTCTGTATGCCCTTTAGAATTAAGACCAGATCTTTGGAAAACCAGTATTAATCCAATATGTTGAGGATAATATTTTCCCATTTTTAAATACACATCAGTAAACAAATGAAAAAGAAATAGAAGAATCTGAAGTTCCTTGAAAGTGGATAGAAAATTACACCCAAATTTGCCGATATAGTCTTGATATTAAAAAATATAACAATATTTTCTGCTGTAATCCTAAAAAATATGAAGAGTCAGCTGCTTTTCTTACTGAAAATAATGGATTTTTACCACCAGTTTCAAAAGGTCAAGATAGGCATTTTCTCAATCCAGTTCACATTCTACAATATATTGATAAATTAAAATTGCTATTTTATAATACTTATTATCCTTTTATTTTATCGGAGCAGCATATCTGCCTTTACTGTACTATATATGATAAATATTTTCCAATATTAGCAATGGTAATAAAACACAAAAAACCAGAACATATTTCTAAAAGAAAGTTTCGAAAAATAAAAATTTCTAATTCTATTGATGATTTTAATGTACTTCCAGCTGGTTCTTCTCGAAGAATAGTTTTAGATTCTAGCCATGAGTGTATTTCAGATTGTGAATAAAAAAATTTTAGTGAAAGCATTATGATGTAATTTGTATTACACAATAAAGTTAAAGTTTTTAATCTAGTTTTAATCCGGTAAATTTAAGGTCTAATCTTATGATTAAATAAGAAAATTGGGACCTGAGACAATCCATATACACCTCTCTCTCCTATTATATTAGCTAATATTTGTTACAGCTCTTATAATAATAATCTAAAATAAAAATGCATATTTTTTATAATTATTTACTTTATATATAAAATTTCATATATTCACAATTTTTTATTCTATTGTTATTTTTAATATCATTTATATAGATTCTAATATTAATATTAATATTATCTTTATATAGAATTGTATATAAAATTATGATAATATTCTAAAGTCTTAAAATTAATTGCTATTTTTTTATTAAGATAATAATAATAAACTTTATAAAAATTTTGTTATATTTTATTTTTATTATTAATCCTTTTTACAATTTTTTTTTTTTTGATTTTTTTAATATTTTTATTTTTTATATATATAAATATTAAAAAAGTATTCTTAAGATGACTTGATTACTAAATTATAAAAAAAAAAGTAACATTAGTAAGAAACTATTTATATTGATATTAACTATCTTCTTCTTCTTATTTAACTATATTATATTTTTCTAATTTTATTATATAATAAGATGAAATAGATATGTATAAGTTATTATAATTAATAATAAATTTTTTAAAACATAGGATGATTAATTAAATTAGATAGCCATATACTAATTAAATAAAAATAAAAGAATATTAATTATTTATTTAAAATTCTAATTAATTTTATTATTAATTAATTTAGTTAAATTTGTAAAATTCATTAATGAATACTTTGATATTTAATCTGACAAATAAATTTCAAATCTTAATTATTAAAGTTTTTACTTACTTTAAATTTGTTAATTCACAAATGATTTTAAGAGTTTTAGTAAAAATTTGTTATAATAACAATAGTATTTAAATTTAAAATAGAATAAAAATATAATTATATTAATCTTAATAAATTACTTGTCTAATATAAATTAAAATGAATAATTAAACTTTAGATATATTTTCATTTTTTTGATATTTTAAATACTACCTATATTTATATAAAATATTTATCTGAATTTTTCTAATTCATAATTAAATGAATAATCAAATAATCTGTAAGCTAATCCTACTAAATAATAAAATAGGTCTTATGAGATTTACAAATAATAATTATATGCTATTGGTTTAATATATTTAGGTTTAGATATATATGCAATATTCTTTTTTATGATATTATTATTAGTAACTTTAATCTATCATAAATTTCACTCATCAGATAATAATATTGATTATTTTTAAATATATTAAAATCTATATCTGATAATTAATTTTATGAAACTTTACAAAAGTGATATTTATATTTAGCATTATACTTTTTAATTTTAACTATATCATTATTTTAAAAGAAAGTCAGTTGTGTTCATTTCAAATTTTATGCTTACTCAATTTTATTCATTTTTTTATTATTATAAATATTCTATTTTATAATTCTTTTATATTATTATACAAGTTGATTGCGAAGTCTACTAACTGAAAAATAGACTTTAACGTATATAACAACATTTTAGATATCTGAAGAATAACAATTTATGTTAACAATCTTAAAATCTTGTTAGCATCAATAGAATTATTAATGTAAATCATTACAATAAATGTATATGTTTATATGGAAGAGCAATAATGATAGATTGAATTTATGTTACAAGTTTAACTAATTAAAATTATAGGGTAAAAGGTTGGTTTATTAATTAGAAAATTGGGATCAATATTATTCAATAATTTAAATAAGCTCTTGTTTGCGAACTTACAAAATTAAAGAATAAATAATAAACTAAGTTATATTAAAACTGTATTAGAATAACTATCTAATAATTAATATTAAGACTATCTAGCTTGATTTTATTTTTTTTAATATTGAAGAATATTGAATAGATTGCAAAAACTTTTAATAGTATATATAATAATTTAATAA